ATATAGTTAAAGAATATACTAAAAAATATATATGTAATTTGTTAGCAAAAGAATATTTACTAATTATTATTTTATATTTTTGATTCAGGGTGTTAGTAGACCCTGAATCAATACATAATTTTTCGATTGCAGAGACATGCTCGTTCGTGTTACAGAACAATCGAAAATCGCATCAATGGTACTTTTTTTTTTTCATTTTTAAGTTGAATGGTTTTTTTTTATTTTGCTAAACTTCAGTTGAATGAGTTTTTTTTTTTTTTTATTCTAACGTCCAATTTATAACAAATTATTTTGAATATATAACATAATAATTTATAATAATATTATTTTATTAAAAAAAAACATGATGTCCGGCCGGTCGGACTGGTCGGACCGGTCACGACCGGGCGTCGGGGCCGGACGCCATTTGGGCCGTCCGATTTCGGCGGACGGCCGGACAAAAATATATATATATATTTTTTTTTTTTACTTTTTGAAAAAAAATTGCAGGGGCAAAAATGTCCAAGGGGGCGGTAAATAGTAATAGAGGGGCGGTGAATAGTAATCCCCATTTCAATATGTACAAAACACAAGTACTATTAGGAATTGGTGAATCTAATGGTGAAAAAAACCCATGATTGAAGTGCCTAGGGCTCCGAGCCTGAACACCCTTAATGAGCCGAGATAGGGACTCGTTAAGTCAACGAGCAAAAAATTGAGCTCGAGCTCGAGCTCGTTGATCAATATTAACGAATTGAGTTCGAGATGATCTCGAGTTTTAACTACCGAACTATAGAAAATTAAATAAAAATTATGTTTTCGAGTCTCATCAAGCCCAACTTGTTAACGAAACGAGTTTTAAGCGTGCTCGAACTCAGCTTGTTTATCAAATGATCCGAGCTGAACTCGAGCCTTAACAAGCCGAACTCAACTCCCAATAGACTTGTTCGTTTAATAGCTCTAGCAGATCGACTTTAGCTACAAAAACAGTTTTCACGTTGCTAACCTTCATGAATTTATGTTGCGGATTTAGAGGACGGCTTCTAGGCAACGGTGGCCTACATAACCGAGGTTTGCGAATAAAATTGCTTGTTAAGATAGGTTTTAGTTATTTTAGTAAAATATCTTTGGTTTGATATGATCTTAATTGGGAAGTTGTTATTTTGGTAATTAGATATTTGATTTGATTTGATTTTGATTTGTTATTTATCTCTTTCTATATATTGGATGTAATCCCACTATTACAAACAATGAAAAATACATATCTTTCTCTTCTCTACTTTATGCATTCTCTTTTAGTTTTAGCATTGCTCGACTTGAAATGACGAGCTCCATCTGGACCGACCATGCACGAGTCGTTTGTAAGATAACTTACAAACTCCAACAAAAATGAAAATTTGCTCGGAGAATATTTGTTTCTGAACCAGAAACACATTCAGCCATTTGTATACATTCTCATAGCCTCATTATTATGATGGAAAATATTAGTACATTTTTTTGTAGCTGCAAATGCAGTACTAATTTACATGACTTGAATAATTCATAATACAAATACAACAGAATAATCTGACAGACAATAAAGTTGCTTTGGCGGCTATGGATCTGCACGTCCCGGAGCCTCGTCTTCACTTTCGCTCCTTCCATCACTAATAGCCTCGTCATCGCTTACATCATCATCACTTGCATCTGTTGAGTTGTTTCTAATGTGCTCCTTCTTTGCATACCGTTCGCAATACTCTAAGCCACGGCAAATTAAAGAAGAATAAAATTACACAATGAAATATAAATAGTTGAGAATCACAAGTCCATATGTCAACATATTTAATTATCTGTAAAATTCGAACATAGGCAAGAGCCTCAGACAATTATAGTTCTCTTTTGGTCATAACCATTGTTTCGTTCACATTTTTTCTTCCTCAATCCTTCAACATAATTTTTTTAAAATTAAAACTTAATCATTGCTATACATCATTACCCAACAAAATTAACTATTCACTCATTTACATATATATTTACCATTTGCCAATCATTTTCAATCATTATTTTACTATTTTATATCACATCAACTTTAATCTCTACAATCAGTATCATTTTTAACCATAAATCAATATTTGGTGATTGCAAATGGACCGGTTCATTTCTTATCTCCCATCTTCGGTTTTATTTCTCCCCACACTTTAAAATATGCGTGAAAATTTAAATCTCTCGGATTTAAAAGGATAAAAGAATGCAATTCACCTTTGACTTTTTGTTCATATTGGGCTTTGTCTTTCATCATTAGTGATGCTGCATCGCCATTCAGTGGGTCCGATGGGTTCGGGTAGAGTAGAAGCTGAGGGAGGAAAACCTCAAACACATTCAACAGATCTGCATTTTTCATTAAAAAATATAAAATTATCGGTTAACAGATTATTTATCCCCGAAAAACAATATAATTGGAAAGTTCAAAACTTTCTTCAATGAAGCTAAATCTTACCGAACATTGGACTCCACGACTGGTTAATCACATCCAAGCATACAGAACCAGACCTATAATCAACAAAGCCAAAACTGATAAGTAAACGAAAATATGTACAGCGGGCGAAGGGAAAAAATAAATAAACTATTAATTAGACTAAATCATTTTCTGAATGGAGGAATCATTTAGGGGGCGATTTGAGATAAATCAAAACCGGTTTTGATTGGATTTTGAGTTAAAGTGCGTTAATTTTAAATAAAGTTGATTGAATTGAGGATTGAGTGGGATTTTGAATTTGTATTTAAACAATATTTAAAATGTAGTTATTAACGTTGATGTGGTGTAAAAGTAGGGGATAAATGAAAATAATAGATAGTTATAAATATGTGAGTGGAAGAACAGTGAATTAAAGTTGATGGGATGTGTGAGTGAGTATGATTGATTGGTACTATTTAAATGTATTGATAATAATATGAGAGAGAGTTAGGCTGAATTAAATTTGAGTTGGATTTTAAGAGCGTAAAAAAATTATCCGATTGGTCAAAACCGGTTTTAACATTTTTAATCGAGAAATTCTCACACGTATGGTCTCATAAACGTAAGGCCTACACAACTTACTGCTCGTCAACATTTGGGTGAAAAATCTTGTTGACAAACACGATTGAAGGAGACCTGTAAGGATAAGCATACGGAAGTTCCACATGAACTTTCCAGAATCCACCTTCGTAAGGACCTAAAAACCGACTTCGAGTTACTACAAATAAATCTTATGAAGCATAAATAAATCTGCACAAGGAAATGCCATTAGCAAAATATTGAAATGAAATGTTGAAATTTCTCCATGGTAGAAATGGATTATGCAAAAACAACATAATTTTATATTGAGGAATATCAGAGCCTACAAAGAAAATGAAGCACAGCACAATATCATTCTATGCAAGTATGAAAAAAATTCACATCTAATGCACACAATCTAAGGAAAAACAAGAATGTGATAGCATTACTTTCTTTCGGGCCATGAAATTCCACATTAAACTTGTTGATGTCATCATCAATGGGTTCCACGGAGTAGTCACTCATCATTCTACAAAGACATGAAGGATAGTCAAAAGCCATTGAAAGGTTCATAACAAATGAAATATGTTAAAGGAATTTAATTCCGGTAATATATTCGTGAACATAACATTAAAAGAGAAAAACATCCATTTTGGCTTACAGTTTCATGACATCCATATCTCGCCTCTTGCTAGGTGAAGACATTTTGTAAAGAGTGATAACAGTGTATGGCCTAAACAGAGAAGTAAAAAAAAAGGTCAAACTTATCCTAGCCCGATTAAAGAATCCAAAAGATTCGAAATGTTGAGAAAATACAGAGAAGGGTGCCAATTGATTTCAACAAGTTTGTATGATTTTTTAACTCAGGTTTTTAATGGCACAAGCCTAAATTCCTTTTGAAAATACAAACAAGTTTCTTACAAAACCGTAAGAACGAATGAATATTAGGCTAAACAAACAACTATGAAAAAACAAACATTCTTTTTCACTTTTTCATACACAAAGGTTCAAACTTTTCAAGAAAGTTCTTTGGCTTCTCTATGGCTGTCTATAAGAATGAATAGACCCATTATTACATTGTGGAACTATGTAAAGTAAGATGTCCACAACTAAATGCATTCAAGTTTTCAACAATCAATCAAATGTCCCAAAAGAGAAAAGAAGAAAAAATCACAGATCAATCAGTCTTGTGCAGATTAGTCTACAGAGTACTCACAAATC